TTAGTGCTGGGCAGTATGGCTGTAAAATGTATCTCAATATACGTGTTTAAATGTCAGTTAATATCGATAATTATCTATTATTGTTTTTAGTGTCAGTCATTTGTGTTTGTCTGTGCCTCTTTCCTGTCCTCCCTAAACCCAGCCTGTCGAGGCAGTTGGCTGTCTGTCCTGAGCCTGGTTCTGCTGGAGGTTTCTTCCTGTTGAAAGGGAGTTTTTCCTCTCCACTGTTGCCAATGTGCTGCTCAGAATGGGAGACTGTGACAGAGTGAAGATTCAACACAATCTGCTGGCTTCTTTAGGTTTATTGTGTTTTGTGTACAGGACTCTGAAATGTACTTTGTTACTTGGTGCTATACAAGGGTAGACATAAGGATGTTTTTTTCAGGTTGATAAAATCTGGTTGTCCAAAACATTTTGGCTGTCCAAAAAATTTAAATAAATATGTAATTTAATAAGTACGGTATATTGTTCTGTATACCAAATGTACTATATACAAATGTTGACAGTCAGCCAGGTTGGCAGTTTCAGGAGCTGCTGAATTTCCTAGTTCTCCTCCTCATACTCTTCTTTGAAATAGAGAGCAAAAATATTGCTACTAAAACTTTTCTACACCTAGAGTTTACCCAACATCCATAAGTTTTCTGCTTACATGTCAAACATTTTCATTTAAATTGGAGTATAATGTGTTCATGACCTTATTATGTTATATATTTAAAAAAATATGGCACAAGTAGTTCTCTGTACTGAAAACAAATATATTTTTACTGTTTTTTTTTCACCAAACTGACAGTTTCTCATCTAAAATTGTGTAATTCAAAGGCATTGAAACACCTGGTTAAATTTAGCAGATATTTATGATTAACTACAAGTATCTGAAGCTGACTCAGAGAACTGTGTGATTTTAGAAGAAAATCAAAATAAAACGTAGACACATCTTTGTTAGAATTAGGGGCATAAAAAATGTATTTCATCTTAAATATTTTTACAGTTTTCATAAAGCTCGCTCCAGCTGCGGCRCTGCTCCTTTGAGAATTAGGAGTTCACGTGCCAGTTGTGCATATATGTCAGACAACAACTATACTCCAAACACATGAATCTTTAAATAATAAAAAGAGTTTAGACTCTGAAATCCCATGCTGGTCGGAGCTGTGCTGCAGGTGGAGAGGTGCAGCAGCCGCGGTCCTCGCTTTAAAAACAACGGTCAGGTGACCTCTCGCTGTTTTAAAATACGTAATCCTTAGTGGAAAATAGTCCAGGAAATACTGAGAGCTTTCCTGGGAGGTGTTCACCTGGCCCCTCAGCTTCGCACACCTGCTGTCTGTCAGACAGCATGATCCGCCCTGCTCTGTTCTGACTTGGGTAAAACTTTGACTGTGGTTCTCTTTATTGGGTGAAAGAAMYGTCAGTTTAATCCCTACATGGCTTTAACAAGTCTTTTCTCCCTTTCTTTTTTACAAATGACAGACACCCACAGCAGAAAACTTTAATGTCGTTTTTTTTTTTTTCTTGGTTGTCCACCGGACTGGCTTCATTCACTTCCTCCACTGCCATTGCTAACTAACTAGCAGACACTGTGCAGAAAATCAATGTCATTCAAAACCCCGCCTTCTGTTCTCTGATTGGTCCAGGTAAAATAAAATACAAGCAGACACTGAGCAGAAAACTGACGTTGTGTTCTCTGGTTGGTTCGGCTAAAAATCTGCCAGTGAAATCCTTGTCTATGGGAGAAGTCCCAGACGGAGCAGAGAAGSGAAACTAGAATTGAGCGGAGCTGCATAGGAAGGCAAGGGCCAGGCTAGGAGGCAGGTGCTGGTTGTCTGAAAATGAAAATAGGTCGTCTCAGACAACCTAAACAATGTTATGTCAACCCCTGCTAGAAAAACTGATTTGAATTGAATTGTTTAACTATTAGAAAAAGAAAAAAAACTGCCGACGTTGCCTTTCCTCTTTTGTCTACAATTTCTTCTCGAGCTATTYACTCATTTTCTCCTTTCACTCCACATTGTTGATGTTTTTTATTTTAATTTATTTGTTTGTGTTTATTTATTTTAAGCAATTATGAGGCACGGTCAGAAACATGAAACAGCTGCTGTGCATGTTACTCACCAGGTTGTTGCTAGCTGAGTTAGCTGATGCACCAACCTTGCTTGGCTGGGCTGTGAGAGGTCGAGCAGCTAAAGCCCTTCCTCAGCCTGCATCCCCCAGAATGCTGTGCAGTTCTATAATGGAGTTCAGTGAAATTATAAATATTATATTTGACAAATTGTCCATTGATAATGATCATATGTCAATCACAATATGTATTATTGTTTTCTATKTATTACATGTCTAAATATCAGTATTGTTATTGAGCTATTGCCCAGCCCTAGAATCTTTATGTTGCAGTTCAGAGGTCTGCACTGTGATGACAAAAATTTAACCTTGAGACTTGAATGACTATGCCTCATTTTGCATAAATATGCTGATTTACATGTCAAAAAGTGGAAAATAATGTGCAAAAATAGAAACAGGCTTCTGATCAATATTAAATGGATGTAGCAAAATGTAAGACCTTTTAAAAAGCATGACATTTGAATCTTTGTGACATTGAATACTTTTTTTGCACAAGTTTAAACTTTTAGTTTGGCTCCATGCCTCTTTTTGTCCAACGATGCTCAATCCAGTAAATTAAAATTGAAAGGAAAAGCTTGCCAACTGTAGCACAACTAGATCATTCTTTGTAAAACAAAATAAGTTGAATAGTTTATGCATCACTGTCACTGCATAAAAGTGGCATTAAATTTGATTGGCAGATTTTTGCAGAAACCCTGTAACGATCAGCACTGATGCTAACGTAATATTGAAAGCATAATAGAAAAGCTAATGYGATTAGCATTTTGTTCATTACTGGAATTTTATACACAACTCAAACCGCTTCAAAGTCCTTTTCTTCCTGTCTTGTTATGATAGTTTCAGCTTTTACCCATAAGCGTATATTCTTTGTGGTTTAGTGAAGAAAAGCTGTGAAAGCACAGCATCAAGGTTTTACTACAGCTTGCAGCAGTAACTCAGCAACTACTCTGTTGGCAGCACAGATTAATGTTAACATCAATTTCAGATTCTGTGTCCAGGATGCAACGTGTCTTAACAGAATTTACCTCCCACCTCTATAAACAAGGTGAACGTCCTCATTCATTCTTACTGTTAGGAGACATTAATGACTTCAAATTGGTAATCGTTTGGTTGGATTCACAAAGGGAGCATGTTTATTGTTGTGAGGCAGACTTGCAGGGGTGTTGCCACATTTATCTCAAAGTCCTGCTGACAAAACTGAGTGTCCTTAKTCTTTTGTAAGGAATGGAATTTCAAGCAAAACTGCTCTTCAGATTTGTTGTTAGTAATTTGGTTCTTCTTCATGAATGCAGTTGTTTTGGCCAATTGTCTCTTGTGGTCCCTCCCACCTGATAAGTATGTGTAAGGGAGGTCCACATAAGTGATGTCATGCACAATTTTAATGGAAAATTGTTCTCTTTTTGCCCATCCTTCACTTTTACATTCAGTTCCTTTGATGTGTTTTATGACTCTACTCTCACTTTCTGTTTTAGTTTAGATCTGACCGGGGTTGTGGCTTTGTGTACAAATGAGAGCGGTTCCGACACTGCTGACAGAACTGGGTCACCGTATCACTACCACTGACTTAGATAGCGGTGATGAGAGAGTGTTGTGGTAATCATTAATTCTTCCAATTTTCAAAAAACCTCAACGGAGGAGAGACATGAAGGTCAAATTTAAAAATTACATGACTGTACTGCAAACACAACAAAGTCCATCTGATCGGCTCTATCATCAGATGCTGATGTAAAAAAAAAAAAGAAATGCTTCCAGTTATGAATGGTTGTATACACTGTGGTGGTCAGAACTGTGGTTACCGTAATATTTAAACTAGGGTTGGGCAATATTGGCAAAACAATCACGATTAATTGTGGTATTTAGCCGATAACGATTTAAATGACGATTAATCCTCTGGAGTAGGGCTGCCACAAACGATTATTTTTATAATCGATTAATCACCGATTATTTATTCGATTAGTCGACTAATCAGATCATACATTAATTGAATATAAAACATACAGCTTATCGTACCAGAATGCTGCTTCTATTATATAACTGTTAGATTTTAGCTATATGCTAACTAAAAATAATTGCTGTGGAAGGTAAGTTCTGCTCTGCAGATATTGCACAGGTTTCTCTTTCATTTTCTTAAAATGATCCCACACTTTTGAGCTCCGTTGTCAGGTAGCCATGATACCAGAGCCTGTCTGTATAATGTCTTGTGACGTCCACGGCCTACCCCAGTTACCACTACTGTGCATGTGTGTCAAGGACAGAAAGGCAGATGTGGCAGTGGAAGGTGCCAATGCAGTTTCGAGAGAAAAACAAAGTAAAGAACAAAAAAAAAGAAAGAAAACGATTAATCGATTATTAAATTAGTCATCGATTATTTTAATAATTGATTAGTCGTCGACTAATCATGGCAGCCCTACTCTGGAGTCCCTGGACACCCTTATGTCCTAGTCACATGGCCAGTTTAGTGGAAAAGATTTGCTCTCTGTAAAAATCTGTTCCAGATTGTGTCAAAATTACAGACTTCAGGCTAAACATCAAATTTTAAGTTGTGTTGATAAATAAATTACAGAACTTTTTTTAAATGTTAATCTTATTTGAAGCGGAGAGGAGCTCTGAGCGGACTGACTGCTGGCATCAATCATATTAATCGTCTAGTGCCAAAAATAAATCGAGTAATGTTTTTCTGGCGATTAATTGCACACGATACGATTATGCCCAACCCTAATTTAAACCCATTGAATCTCGCTGGGAGGAACAAGCTGGTTCAGAACCAAACAACTCATTGGTTAAAAAGCTCTATGAGAAGAAAATTATGTTGTGTTGTGCCTTTTTGTTTCGGTGCACATCTCAGACACAAACAAAAAGAGTTTAACTTGGGTTCTTTTTCCCCGCAGGCTGTTCGCTGCTACGATTCGCTCATCCTCAAGGCTGAGGGCAAAGTGGAGCCTGAAATCTTCTGCCAGCTCGGTCACTTCAACCTCCTGTTGGAGGATTATCCGAAAGGTGACTATCTGCTGATGGTACTTTGTTAGTTGCTCTGCCTGAACTCCACCTTTCCTTTTTCACACTCTTCACCTTACATTTATTGATCTTTTATTTGCAGCATTATCAGCATACCAGAGGTACTACAGTTTACAATCCGACTACTGGAAGGTAAGGAATGCATGTCTGCGATCCCACGCCTCTAACTTGTCAAACTACCATCTTTAGCGCACACACACAGATCTGAACCTTTTTCACAGGAAGCTTGTATTTATTCATTCGGGTTAAATATCAGGTGAGATGCAGTTTGRTTTCATGTCAGTCATTTTGAACACATTTTTGTGTTGCTGACATTTGTGGTTAGACAGAATGCCTGTGTTATTTATGTTTTATTTAAGTTAATGAACTTTATTCAGTAGTCGCAAGGTTGGGTAACCAGTAGCTTGGTGTTACCTATGGTTGTACAATATTTAAACTGTTTATTTTCTCTCCTTTTATTATATACAACTTAAGTGATAATGCTGTGTAGTTTAAGGTTTTTTTTTTCAGTTGTAAAACGCTACAGGTACCTGTCAGGATTTGATTTCCTGTAAATAATTTCACATCTCTCCATCTAGAACGCTGCATTTCTGTATGGCCTCGGAATGGTCTACTTCCACTATAATGCCTTTCAGTGGTGAGTCACAGCTTTTTTGTTGTTGTTTTGCATTTGTGTAAGGCACCCTCATGGTCAGGTAAAATTGAAAAACCAAAAAATAGCTTTACTGATGCAAAAATGATTATAGTGCATAGTTTAGTGTATTACATTGTATTACATTTGGTGTCATTCTCAATTATTATTATGGAGGAAAATGGTATAAATGTTCCTTGTTAAATGTATGTTATTGCCTCAGCAAGCCAGTTTAATGACTAGTTTGGTGTATTCCCTTTGGTATGATTGTTCTTCTTTAAGAAGAATTAAAAAACTGTTATTCTACRGTCATCTGTCATAAAAGAAAAGGTGTGTTAGGTTCTTGAAGGGTATCTCATGCTTCTATTCTGTGCAACCTCAAATTAGGGGCCATGGGGTACGGCCAGGAAATGTGAGACAGACTTGGCTAAAGTAAAACAAAAAAATCAGATTTTTCTTTAACTCATCACAGAGAGTTTCTAATTCTGATTTTATCTGGTCTAGGGTCCTGTGAAATCTGTTTTTATTTTCCATTCCCATCTTTGTTTTGTAATTTTACTTTTTCTGTGTTTTTTTGTTTTGTTTTTCTTGTTTCTTTTTCTGAATTGCACTTTGACATTCTAGCCATATTTATTAACCTAAAAAAGTGTTTAATTATAAAGTGACTGAAAAATAATTTAACAAATGAATAGGCACAGAATTGAAAATATAACAGTTGTTATTTCCCCTTCACTAATATAACAAATTGTCGTGGTTCAGCAGAACGGTAAATGCTTTTGCAAGGTTCTTTTTTTTAAAGAACAAAAAATATGTGCAAAACAAAATGTCATGTTAAAAATGTGATCCTTTTTTCTAATAAAAATACATTAGAGTTGAGCCTGACATAAGATGTCTTTATGATGAACATAAAACCTACAAACGGTAACACTTTGTATACCTGCCTATTGAACTGGATTTAAGCTTATTTTTACTCGTCTATTGGAGCCTCTTTTTTATAGTTCTTTATCCAAAAAATACAAAACTTTATTTTTTCTWAAGGAATATCTGATTCTGCACTCATAACAAAATACTGATGTAACTGAATGTTGTAGAGTTAGCAGGCATGTCTGGCTCAGCTCGTTACTTCTGTTTCTGATGTGAGTCAGACMGGAAGTGGTCAWCACATGTATTCTACACGTCCCGTTGATCGCGTGCTGACARAACTTAGAGAAAAGTTCTCCAGATTCATAAAAAAGTGCTGGGGTGTTGTTCTGCTCTAAACTTTAAACTGAGCTTCATATTTTTTAATTTGGAGGACATTAGTGTTTCAATGAGCCTTTTTGTCGTGGCTGACCATCTGTTTTTTTTWTCCTACATTGAAAGAGAGTACTTACCCCACATGCTCATAACCAGGTAATGGCAGGTACAGKGAGCGACAGCAGCAAAAATACCTCAGAACTTTAACTACTCGCCCAAATAAGCAAATACTGTGAGATTCCGTTTGTACTGGATTCCAAACCATTTGGGAAATTCTACAATTCTGTCTGCATTTTCTGCATTGCTGAAATCATAGGGTAGGTAACCTACAAAATGAGCAAATAAAACAGGCTGTTTGTATGATATTGCTGATGGTTTAACAGCCTTAAGTAAGTGACTTGAAGAATAAGCTTGCAGCACGACGGCTCAGTGGTTAGTACCAATGCCTCACAGCAAGAATGTCCTGGGTTCGATCCTCGGTTCGGCTCTGGGGTCTTTCTGTGCAGAGTTTGCATGTTCTTCTCGTGCTTGCATGGGTTTTCTCCATGTACTCCGGTTTCCCTCGCCCCACAAAAACCTGTATAATAGGTTGCCTTCAGGCACAGGCCTCCCTTGAAGAAGAGATCTGAGATCTCAACGGGACTTCCTGGTTAAATAACGGTAAATAAAATAATAAATAAATAAATAATAGAATTAAAAATATAGATAATGAACTCTAGTTTGCACTTTCTGGACAGAGGAACCTAAATGTCCAGCTGGGCTCATTCATATGGTAAATCATAAAATTGTATTRTATAGCGCCTTTYTAGCCAACCRGGCYACTCACYGCACTTTAAGACATAATTTATGCCTTCATTCATCTGTCCACATAACTCTGCACATTTCTACACAGCTAATCTGAATACATTGTTCCATAGAGTCTAATCAGTGCTTTAGATGGCATTCACATGCTGAAAGCAAGGAGGGGTTCACAGGGTAGACATAACCATTGTTTAGGTTGTCCAAGRCAACCTATTTTCGTTTCGGACAACCAGATCCTGTCTCCTGGTTGTCCGGTGGWCAACCAAGCAACAAGACCTTGATTAAAATTCTCTGCCGCGGGTGTCCATCATTTGTAAAAATGAAAGGGAGAAGAAACTTGATAAAGCTGAACAGAACACTAAACTGTAACTTTTAATAAGGTCATGTACATATGATATTCCTATTTAAGTGAAAATGTTTGACCTATGAGCAGAAAGAAGCTTATGAATGTTGAACTCTATTTCAAAGAAGAGAATAAGGAAATTTTATTCATGCAGGTCCTGTCAACCTGGCTGACTGAGAACAATTATATACAATAAACTTYGTCTACAGAACAATATACTTGTTAAATTATAATTTACTTGARATTCTTTTGGACAACCAAAATGTTTTGCGGACAACCAGGTTTTGTCAAATATCCTTATGTCTAACCCTGGGTTCATGTCCTGTGGRATCAAACATCCAACTCTCAAACTAGAGGACATCTCAGAGACTATTGAACTTACTGAAATCAACTGGCTTTAGTAAGACACTGATCCTGCACAGTTAAGAAATCTGTTGTAATGACTGGACTTGGTCTTTGCAAAGGTTTACTGGGCTTGTTTTGTCACTTTCTCCTGGCATCTGTTTGGTGAAACTAGGCTAGATAGGTTTGTCTCGGGGGAAGACATAAAAGTTACATTCTACTAGGGCTGCAACAACAAATCGATAAAATCGATAAAAATCCATTATTAAAAGCGTTGGCAACGAATTTCATTATCGATTCATTGTGTCGCGCGATTTATGTGTCCCTCTCCGTGTTGCGGAGCCGTTTACCTCACCCACAGAGCGTTGTCAATGCTGGCTGACCTAAATAAAGTTTAGGAAGAAAGAAAAAACAACCTGTAAAGATCCACCCTCTCTGACTCTCAAGTGAAAAGCAGAAACTTCGACCTTTAAACCAGTTTTTAAATTGTGTTGTTAGGCCAAGTAGATTCGAAGAAATGATAAAAAGTATATGACACAGTTAACGTTTTTAAAAGACGGCCTGATGCGTGCCGTGTCGCAAGGAGGAAACGCGTGCAGGGGGTCACCTGAATCCACCATCTTTTTCCTCCTCTCGGGCCAAAAGTATAAAAACCCTCCAGTTTTTCTGACTGAGGCTCAAAGTTATTTGTTGAACAGCAAAAAGGTCCAAGACGAAGTAATAAATAAATTAATAAATGCAAGACCCGATCGAGCAAGCAGCCAGGTCTGCCTCAGTAAGGGAGAGGGAAGGAAGAGGAGGAGGAGGGGAGAAGAACGGGGGCTGCTTCAAAACCGCTTAATGGGTCAGAAC